CTCAAACGCCGAGATGTAGAGGAGGCACAAAGTCTAGAAGACTTAACAATAAAAAATAATAACGCTTTCAGTGAAGTGAAAAGTGACACTAGTGTTTTAAACAAATTAAATGACAATTTAATGAAATGTGCACGTTTATGTCTGGACAGACGTGGACTTCATTTTGAACAAATATTAAAATACATGGTAAGTAATTAGTTAGGTATTTGTTTTGATTCAACATTATTGTAAATACGTAGTTGATTCTAATTTTTTTAAATACGCCTTAACGCAGAAGTACCTATGTAACTTCGGCATAACGTTAATATTTTTTTCTAGGTAACGAATTTGTTTCTCTTTTATTTTTTTTGCATTTTGATGGCCTTAACCATAAAAGTATGAAGGGAAAATTGGAATTACTCTTAGAAATCACCTCAGATCATGGCATAAAATCTAGTTCGAATGTAACAAAATGAGCGTTCAGTGACCCGTGTAGATAGGTACCTACGAGTACATGCCTACGGCGGCGTCGAGCGAGCGCTCAGCTGACGCACGGCGCGCGGTGTCCATAAACTAAGTTTTAAAATCTCGATCTTTGATAAGCGATAACTTTATTTTTTAGTATTAGAACATATCAAAATAAAAAATACGTGTTTATTTAAATTACTTAAAGTTTATTTTCACAAAATCTTCGCAGTGGTTTTAAATTATTCCTGTATATACCGGGTGTTACAAAAATACCCGTTATAGCTGAAGGGTGTTGAAGTATATCATATAAACAGTACTCTGCCAAATTTTCAAAACCTTTGCATTAACTTTTAACTTTCAGTAAAAAGGCTAATTTTTAATAATTAATAAATACATCGAGTGTGCTATGTCACATCACTATTTTAGGTTAATGACCTTACCAGGAGTAATGGCACACTACCTATCTCCTATGTTTTCTAATTTTTTTTTTCTATTCTCCTAGTACACACCCACACATACACACTAAGAATGAGAGAGAAAATATACTTAAAAACATGTCTGCGTTTGCCAGTTTACACAGTAAATACTTAACCTATTTCGATCGAAAATAAAATGAAAAGAAATTAAATAGGAATCAAATCATTGGCAAAATGGTATGGTAACCGACGCTGTTCAGCCGGTAATCTAATTTCAGTAAAAAAAATTATAATACATATTATTATCAACGCGCACATCATTTCATAGGATCGTTTCCGACTCAGCTGTTCTGAATTACAGATCAAACACCATTTTAAGTAGTACCTATTTATGATAAATAAATAAATTTTTTATTTCTTTACCAGAAAAATTATTTTTAAATTCAAAGGTTGGCTCTTTCTTTTAAGTGCATAACACCTGTACCAGAAAGAGCCGCTCTTCCATAGCTAAAGGTCTTAAAACAATGGTAAAAAAAAAAACAAAACAATGACAAAAAAAAGAAAAAGTAACAATTACAATATACAGACAGTCGTAACGTGTTAAAAGGCGCGGGCACGCGCCTGTGTTTATGTGTGTGTGTGTGTGAGTGTGAGTGTGTGTGTGTGTGTGTGTGTGTGTGTGTGTGTGTGTGTGTGTGTGTGTGTGTGTGTGTGTGTGTGTGTGTGTGTGTGTGTGTGTTATATATTATGTGTATGAGATTTTATATTCATTTTATAACTCTCAAAAGATTTTCCACATCTTCATAATTTATACCTTTCAAGTAAATAGTCAATTTAAGTTTGCATGGTTGGTAGGTTAGAGGATATATATTAAGAATTTTGTTAATTCTATTGTAAATGAAGGATGAAAGATTTATAAATTGTTTTTTAGCGAAATCTGTATTAGTACGTTTGATTATGGCAACATTACCCTTTCTTCTCTTCTTTATTATGTTGGGGTCGTATTCGAGGAGAGTGTGTTTTTTAAGTATAACATGGAGTATATACAACTTTCTAACGGAAAGCAGATCTGTCAGAGAGTACAGTAATTGAGTTGGAAAATCACGTTTTTTAAAATACATGACCTTAATCAGTGCCCTTTGAGCACGTTCGACCTCTAAGAATTTTGTTTTGGTTGCACCACCCCAAAGTATAATGCAATATATTAAAATTGATTGAGCTAGTGAGACATATATTTGATTTAATTGGTCTTTTGAAGCTATATGTCGAAGGTCCCTAAATATCCATATCAACTTTCGCAACCTACATGAAACCAGATCTATATGAGAATGCCATGAGAGTCTCTGATCCAGCATAATGCCAAGATATTTAATAATATTGACTTTATTTAAAGATGGGCAGAAGCAGTTACTGTTTTTATCGCATTGGTTATTATGTATTTTTATACAATACTCACGTTCAGGTTGGGTACTATTATATATAGAAAAGCACATGTAATTTGTTTTTGTGGTGTTGAGCGTAAGTAAGTTTGTTTTGAGCCAATCTGCAATCCTTGACAAACCAATTTCCGCCTCTACCTTTACATCTCCCCAGGAAGAGCCAGTGAATACCACAGCCGTATCATCTGCATATGAAAAAATGCTGGAACCTTTACTCGTCAGGCTACATAGGTCATTTATATATATTAGGAAGAGAGTTGGACCGAGTACGCTTCCCTGAGGAACTCCATAGGTGATATTAGTCCTCTCACTGGTAAATTGACCTATTTTTACCTTTTGCGTCCTTTCGGTGAGATAGTCCTTTAAAAGTTCCAAAGCAGTTCCTCTGATACCTATTTTGTCCAATTTTTGCACAAGCTTAGGAATAGAGACGGTATCGAAAGCTTTTTTTAAATCTAAAAATACTGTGAGACACTTTTCCTTAGCGTCTAATTTTTCAGTTATTATGGATGTCAAGGCCTCAACAGCATCTATAGTCGATTTTCCAGTTCGAAAGCCATATTGAGAATCTGCTAAAAGTTTGTATTTGTCAAGATAATTAATCAATCTTTTATTAATTAGTTTTTCGATGATCTTTGATATTGCAGGTAAAACAGAAATCGGCCTATAATTATTAATGTCTCTTACATCTCCATTCTTGTGCACAGGTGTTATCAGGGATTCTTTCAATTTAGTTGGGAATACACCTTTGCTGAAGCAAAGATTAGTAAGGTGTGCAATAATAGGAACCAATGCGTCTTTTGCCAGTTTAAGGAAACTTGTTGGTATACCTTCCCAACCAGGAGAGCTGTTTGATTTAAGGCTCATTAGAACTGAAAGAACTTCTTCGGAGTCAGTATCTAAAAGAACAAAGGAGGAGGGTTGTGATTCAAAGAGGTGACTGAGATGAGTTCGATTAAGATCTGGCTGAGTAATGGAATCCGCTAAATTTTTTCCAATATTAGCAAAATAATAATTTATATAATCAATAGATTTACACGATGTCTGTTTCACCTGCAAAAGCTTTGTATTGTTAGATTGAGATTGTTTTAAATGTGTTATAGTAGATATAGCATTCCAGAAACTCTTCATATTTCCCTTAGAATTGTTCAACAATCGCTTATCATAATCCCGTTTTATTTTTTTTATCAAATTGTTACAAAAATTTCGATACCGTCTATATGTAACTCTGAGAATTTCATCATCTGAGTTTAAACGAAGCTTATTTTGCAATTTATTTCTATGACGTATACATTTTAATATGCCTGGTGTTATCCAAGGCTTAATAACCCGATTTTTTTTGGAAATATGTATCTCTTTTCTGTGTTTTTCCAGCGATTCCATTATTTTAGCGATTAGTGTGTTTGTTATTATCTGTGGATCGTTACAAAATAATAGCTGTTCTAAATTTTTTTCCATTAAATCTTTCAAAGCTTCATCCTAATTAGTGACCCATTTTGTTTTAGAGCATTTATTTTTTTTATTATTTGTTTTTAGATGTAATATTACCATAGCGTGATCCGTAATAGTTGTATTTAATACTGCAATACGGGCGATCTGAGTAGGACGATTTAGTTTAAGCATCATATGATCCAAGGAACTGTCTCCTCTAGTTGGTAAATTATGACCCATCATAATACTATGTGTTACTAACATATCCAGATAATGAGACCTATTTTTTTGTTCAATACTTGATTCGTTTTCACGTGGAATAGTATTAATATTAATGTCACCAGTCACTATAATGCATTTGTATGTATGTATTAGTCCCAAGTAAGTATTTAGAGAGTTAATAAAACTATCAGGGTTGTTAGTTGACGGTGATCGATATATAGCTAGAATCACACTGTCATGTAACTTTATTTGGAGACACGATGCGTCTTGCAAATTTACTTCTGTGACCTCAACCGTAATAGTTTCCTTTATATATATTACAACACCGTCGCTTTTATTGATATAACGAGTTGTGAAAAACATTTTATAATTAGTAAGGACGGGGATAGGCTTATCTTTAAAGAGCCAGCATTCGGTTAAAATAATAGTATCAGGATCATATTTGAGATGGGCAAGTGTTACGAGTAGATCATTGAAATTGCAAGAAATACTTCTAATATTTTGATTTAATAAAACTAAGTCATTGTTTTTAAAATTAAATATATTAATTACGTTTTCAATATCACATTTCATATTACTTGCTATTTCCGTTTTGTCTACCATGTTCAAGTTATTTATTGTACTATCCATTGAGAAATGATATATAAAACCAGATTTTGTATTTATTTTCTATACTTTTATGTCTGTAAAAATAATAATTCACAAGTAAGTAATTTAATAATTGGATAATTGTGATTTTATCATTATAAGTGTGTAATTGTAAATTTGCCCTTATATTGATATATGTAAGATTGTCTAAGATTTTGTTATTATGAGTGTGTATTTGTGAATTTGCCCTTAAATTAAAATATATATGATAATGAATTCGTGTGTGTAAATGAATGTAATATGTCTGTCTGTGTGTGAATAATATAATTAATTTTTTAACAAAAATATTAAATAATTTAAGACTAATAATATTTAGTGAGAAGCATGCAAAATATAAAAATACAAATGACACTGGAACAAATATTGTTTTTCCCTTATATATTACTATTATTATTAGTCAATCTGTATTCATAAGATGTTGGACTTGAGCTTCCGACTTAATCAATATAATTGCAGAGTTGTCCGTTTTACGGACATATACTTTGCCATATGCAGTCCAGCAATATTTATATTGTTTTGATTTAGCCAAGTCTCTGGCAAGGAAATGTAAGCGCGATCCCCTCATAGTAAGCTGTTCCGATACATAAATTGGCATATCCTCATATGTACGGAAACCCAGGTGCTTAGCGCATAATTTAGACTTAGTCTTTATATTAAAAGCTTTACATAATTTTATGATATTAGTTTTTACCATAGTTGACGAGGTTTCAACAATAATTGATGTATTCTGAGAATCTTTCTTTCCGCGTAATCTGTATATGTCCTTAATGTTACACTTACTCAAATTCGCACCAATTGTCTCGGATAAACTTATTATCATGCCTACTAAATCGTCTTTTGACTCATTAAGTTTTTTAGGTACATTTTTAATTTCGAAATTTGATTTACGCCATCCCATTTCTAGATTTTCAATCTTTTCTTCTAATAGAGTGATATAATCGCGGTATTCCTTTGATTTATTTTCCAGTTCTATCATTTTATTTGTAAGTTCCATACCTTGTGACGTAAGTTGCGCGATTGAGTTTTCGATATTGGCATTAGTTTGCTCAATTTTTCGCAAGGTAGGAGATATATTTTTCAACTCTTGCTGTTGGGCAGAGCACAATGAGTGAATCATCGTTTTTATCTCATCTTTAAACGCATTAAAATCATCCATTGTTATGCTCCTCGAACTCCTCACTCGACCAAAGACATAATTTGGTGGAGTTATATCAATTCCGCTTAGTTGTTCCTGAGTCACCTCCTCATCACATACAGACATGTCGGCCTCACGGCTCATTGTACCAGGATTTAATGACTTTGCGAAACTCTTCAAATAACTTGTTTACACTTTATTTCTATCCACCGAAAGAACACAGTCGCATGCCCCGGTTCATAGATACCCAAACATTAGCAGGACAATGAACGAACTTTTCTTTATTATTTCTTATTGTTTACTACTGTAGGCTCAAGTTGTCATGTAAAACATCTACGTGTATGAGACATGAAAAGCTTTGTTCTCTTTTGCTCTCGTTGTGGTAGGCGGGTTCAAGTTTGCGCGTGCGCAAATTACCGAGCAGGATAGTATGTGTTCACCTAGAATATCTCCTTCACTCTCGCAGTAATAGGCGGAGCAATTCCACAATGAAACAGGTATTAATTGTTTCCTTATGATTCGTTAGCTATCGCAGTTTAATACTTTTTTTAACATGAGGTAAAAAGAGTCAACTGGCACTCACAGTGTTGTTGTGTTTATTCTTCTGACTACAGGTATTTGAAGACAATATATTTTGAGCTCCTTGCTTTTATGCACTCCTATTTTTTTTCAATGAATTTTTGTTTTTCCGTATTTGATTTTTAAAACTTTTCAAGGAAAAAATAAAAATAAAAAAAAACGACACAGGTTGACACGTTCACTCCAGCTTCGATCCGAGAGGGAAGAGGATGATAGATAGGTAAAATTTATTTAAACACTGATATACGAGTCTAACTTTTAGTTCATACTTTAATGGTCCGACAAATCTGATTGATATTACGATAATAAAAAAAAATTATATGCGACATAATTCAAAAACGATTTTGGCGTATTTAAAAATAAATATTTGCGAATTACTATTTGTACTTTACCTTTTCACTTCCTTATTCACTGTTTAAGCATTACTTGTGAGGTTCACTCACCTACACTTTATTAGGCACTTAATTTTATTCCACAAGAAAAAACTAAAGATCGCGGCCAACTTCTGGTTCACTGACGTTTCAGTATAATTACATCTTTTCAAAATAGTCTTCATTTATATCAATACAACACTGCATCCCATGTAACACTGATAAAAGCACTTTTCATAGAACTCGGAATTAGAGAACACGGACATTTTCGAAACGTGATCACATCGACGACGTTTGAACAACTGAATAAAGAAAAAGTGATAAAAATGGAAAGCCGCCAATTTGAGTCCTTTATTATAAGCCGCTGCATAGTGTGCGGCATGTCAAAGGCGCACAGAAAGGTACCTATAGTTCCGCAATTAAATCTGAGAAGTAGCGAGATAGGGTTGCCATCTTCTCTTATTAGATCGGAAATTTTGTCCTTAAAGCCGGACTAAGTCAAATCTCTCGCGAAGCCGTAAAACAATATTACCGTAGTAGACAGTAATATTAGTTCACGGCTTCGCGAGGGTTACTGCCTAGTTATTCAGAGGGTGCGTTAAGCAAAAATCACTAACTTGCAATTGATTTTGTAGTAAGACGTAACATACAAATAAGCGGTAATTAAAGATAAGATAACTACATCATAATTTTAACGCTTTTATCACAGCCAAAACGTGAATTCATAAAATAAGGCTTGATCGTAACATCAAAACTGCACAACCTATTTTGAAAAAGGTTTTTTTTATAAAGTAATTTCGGAGACTATACGATGCAAACAAACTAACGATTGTCGGAAAGTCATGCGGGGCCGGCGAAAAGTTAGGTTAGTCAACATCCGCAATCTGACTAGTGGTCGATATTCCTTCGAAATAAGATCGCATATAGATCACAAATCAGTTATTTAGTTGAATTACTTAATTATCTAATCGGAGTACATTAATAATAACTCGATGCAAACGGATTGCGATACGAAACGCGGAGAGTTCTGCGCTTGCGTCCGCTCAATATGGCCGCACAACGTAAAGTGCCATCTTCGAACAAGCATAGACCACTCCCAAGCGATGACAGCCATCAATGTCATAACTTGACGTTTCGCAAAGCACCATAGATCTTGACAGATGACAACTGCAGGTGACAGATGGCGTTTCGCACAATCGAAGCGCCTTCTCGCCGACACGGCCATCCTGCTGCATCACACGTCCTCGTGTGAGTCTAAAATGAAAACACTACCAGTAGCCTTTGCCATCACTCGGTCATCACTGACCAGTAAAAATACGGTCACATAAACATACCGATCACAAACTATGTTGACTGATTACAACTATGTACAATGATCAAATACTGCCTTAGTACAACTTCGAAGGATATCTGAAGTTCAAACTTTAAATCAAGTCTTACACTCATCAGTACACAACTGAACACATATCGCGATTCTATACAGTGATAGAACGCACACATCAAGACACATAACGCATCCATCGAGCATTATGTTCCCTTCGTGCTATAACAACACAAGCAAAACGCCTCCTACGAGTGTTATGCTACCAGTGCCTCCATCGAGCACATAAACAACCAATGCTTCCATCGAGCATTGTTCCGATGAGCAACTCCATTGATCGCTTATGCAACACCTTTATCGAATGTTACCCAACTTAATCACGCGATGTGCTAGGAACTTCGAACACGGGATCATCACGTTGATCCACCAATTCTTCTACAACCAACTGACCTTCAGGCATCCTTCTCAGTCTATCATGAGCATACTTGTACGTCCTCTTAGAATTTAACGCCTTTTATCAAATAACGATCACCATCTAACAACTCCATGACCTTAAACGGTCCCTTGTATTATGGATCTAGTTTGATCTGATTACGGTCCCCATTTTGTAACAAAACGAAAATTTTACAAGTGATATAGTTGTCAACGAATTTACGAACATATTTTGACATGTTTTCAAACTAATAATGACTATAGAGCTTTTCCATAGTTTTCTCCCAGCCTAAATGCAAAAGAGACTCATGCGTGCCAAAATGGCGGCAACTTGCTTTACGTTATCGAACTGTCAAAGTCAATGTTACCATTCTAATAGAATTAAAAGTATCGATGATCATGTCCTCTTTACAATCGAGTAATTAAGTAATCGAGTAAATAAAAATTAAAAAAAAGAAAACTTAACCAAATGATCTTCGTAACGGTGATGGAGATGCTCTGCGAAACGGCTATTCTGATAGCCTCACGCATCCTCGCGTGGGGGTTTAATCTGAAAGGGAAAATATGCAGCGCAGTAGATTCTTTACTCGGTCAGTCCTGACTTCAACTAGAGCAAGATTTTGAAACCAATCGAAACTTTAATAATTAGAGACCGTTTTTACTATAAGTTTGTTAACTGATCAATTTACACTTTCATTAAATTACATTAAAATTAAATTTGAAACTGTGAAGAGTCATGTACCATCGTTATCTCACAATAATTCAAAACAATCTAGCAATAAATCAACTTAAAACACTAACATATTAACTTCCAAAATACCCGAGTAAATATCTCTACCGCCACGGCCTCCATAGCCGACGAGTCATCACTAACTCTCTCACACAGACGCGCATTTACCATTGTAAATCGCACATGTGCATCTCTCTTAGACTACACACGAGACGGTCTATACAGACCACGACCTCCGCTAGTACTACACGCCCACCGCACACCCACGGACTACTTGAGTTGCCTCAAGAGACACCGACTTCCAACGGGCTACGGCTACGTATTAGTTACTAGTACGGTCGCCTTTCTACGGCCGGTAGAGTTCTAACTCGCATTCACATTACCAATTAAACTAATTTATTATCATCAGACATTTCATTAAACTCCACTTCGACTTCGACTGGTACATGTCCCTCTGGCATCTTACGTAAACGATCACTAACAGTTCAACGAAACTCATCAGACAAATTAGCTTTCTAAATCAAATTGATAATTATGGATTACATAGTAAAACAGTGACGTATGCAATACTCTATAATTTCAGATGCTTCCATCCAGCACCTTGTGACAACCTCCATCCGGTCATCACAAAACAATCACGTGGTTGGGTGACCTCCATCCGGTACCCTTCCACAACACAACGCATCCACGGGTGACCTCCATCCGGTACCCTTCCACAACACAACACATCCACGGGTGACCTCCATCCGGTACCCATACACAACCGTCGTCTCTATGCGACGAACCAACAGCGATCGTTTACATCTCCTAGCCAACGCACGCCACTCACAAACGTGGCCGCAATGCGACGGGAAATCTAGCCCAATTTACGCCTACGACTACGAAGGCCCGGAAGATGTAAACAACCTGAGCGACTTACATACTACTGCTTTACAAAAAATAGGAGAGAAAAAACAGTTACAAAGAATAAGTTTTGTTGAACTACCTAATTAAAACTATTTAAAGGTCCAGGAGAACACGAAAAAGAAATTAAAAAGCAATATCGTCAATCGGAACCAAAACTAAAATCTGCACGATACTACGAGTATAAACACTTCTATCACCAATACCAGTTACTTTAACAGTGTTACTAATTCGATTGCCATGAATTCTTCACGATATTAATTACTTTATAAGGGAACACTCGACTCCAGTATCATTACAAAATGAAAACGACTCACCAAAATGCGGCAAAATACTAGCAAGGGTAGCAATGGTGCAGGCGTCCACATGTCGCTTACTAGCAATACCAGCAGACGAACCATCAAGCTTGCCACCGTTGCATCTTCTTCGGCTACAGGCATCTTGAGAGTAGTGACCATCTGCTCCACAATTGAAGAACGTGACAGCAGCGTTCAGGTTTCTGTTCTTCATATTAGGAACGCTTGGTTCTTCTTACGAAGGCTTCAAGTGATTCTTCTTGCATTTTGTTAGGATCGAATTCGGGCAGATGCACATGTGACTCGACGACGGCCCAGTTATGACGTAGATGAGGGCGAGAAAGTTTTGATTTTGTTACTGCAATAAGATTCTCCATATCCATGACATCTGTGTGTCCACTTGGTCGGTTACATCCCAACTTCTGATGTCGGAAAGTCATGCGGGGCCGGCGAAAAGTTAGGTTAGTCAACATCCGCAATCTGACTAGTGGTCGATATTCCTTCGAAATAAG